ATCTTCAAAAGTCTTTTTTTAAGTGAGTGAGTGAATGGCTTTGGAGTGAGTGAGTGAGTGAGTTGGGTTTAACGCCGCTTTTAACAGTATTCCAGTTATATCACAGCGCGTCAGCTTAATGTGGGAGGAAAGCCCGAAGTGATGCAGGTCTCAGACGTTTACCACTTCGGTGAAACCCACGAGCACGGGTATGGTGCTGACAAACCTAGAAACATAATCGGGGCGAACCGGGATTCGAACCCACAATCATAGGTTTCTGGCGGGTCCAAGGGACGCAACTCTGCACAGCGAATCGCGGCGCATTAAGACGACTGGGCCACCCGTGCCCCCAGTGAGTGAGTGAGTGAGTGAGTGAGTGAGTGAGTGAGTGTTTTTATGAACATCTGAACATATCTGAAATGTAGAAATAAAAAAAAGGGCATGGAAAATGAACCTACGTTTTGCAATAATGCTCACAAATACCATGACTGTGGGGAAATCTTTAATGGTGGTAACTTAGAAAACATACGTTAATATAAATAACAATAGAATATCATCTTCCAAACTATCAACCTTACATACTTTGTTACAGAAAAAAAACATTTCAAATAATTACCTCTACTGTAATCAGGGTCTTACAGGCCCAAAGTAAACAACCCTTAATCATAAATAACTATAAAAACAGCCTAATATAACATTGTCAACACCACTTAATTACCTCTGTATTAAGCAAGCCTAGGCAGACCCCTAATTATTCAGGGCTATTTGTCTAAAACAATAGATATCAAATTGCTAGGCAGAGTCAACGTATAGTTGATTCTAATCCAATTTGCAAAGCTTAAGGTTCCAAATAGTCTGAAACCTCACATTACCGTTATACAAATGTTAATACAATATGGTTGGTTCACACAAGCTATCCTTGCGTAGATTGGTGAACTTTCCCAAACCATTGGTATTCCAAAAGAAGTGTTCACAGACTTGCTCTAGTCTTCCTAGGAACGTGCTCAGTCCCTGGGAAGTCTATGTATGCTCACCATTGTCGTATTTACCTGTTAGCTACTTATATATATAGTATGTTCATTAGAGGTGTAACGATACGGGAGGGTCGCGATACGATACGTATCACGATACAGGGGTCGCGATACGATACGTATCACGATACAGTGTTTACTGGTACAAGCTAAGCCAAGTTGATGTCTTTCTGCTCTCTAAAAGATGTGACAAGTACAGTTGAAGAAGATATAAGGTGTTTATTTACTGTTATAGCAAATTGTCAGCAATACAGTATGTTTTACTGAAACAACAAACTGGCTTTGAAACTGTTAAACGTATTTCATGATTAAAAGTACTGGTAAGTAAAACTGTGTTATGAAAATATTGTATGTATCGCGATACATGCTTTCCAAATCGATGCATCGTATCGTGGGCTGTGCATCGGGATACAATACTGTATCGCCGTATCGTTACACCACTAATGTTCATGTGAATACTTGTCTCTTGTTCTACCTGGCTAAGCTACCCCCTTTAGTCTGAGTGAGTGAGCGAGTTGGGTTTAACGCCGCTTTTAACAGCATTCCAGTTAAAATCGCGGTGTGTCAGCTTAATGTGGGAAGAAAGCCCGAAGTGATGCAGGTCTCGGACGTTTACCACTTCAGTGAAACCCATGAGCATGGGTATGGTGCTGACAAACCTAGAAACATAATCAGGGCGAACCGGGATTCAAACCCACAATCATAGGTTTCTGGCGTGCCCAAGGGACACAACTCTGCACAGCGAATTGCGGCGCCTTAGACGAATGGGCCACCCGTGCCCCCCCCGTAGTCAGAACATGAAAGTATTATCCATCTCAGTAAAAAGGATCGACAGAGGCAAACTGCTAATCATCTAGCCTTCGTGAAAAACATTCACTGAGTTTGAAGATGGGTCATCTGATTCATCTAGTTTGCACAATTTGATTCCAAAAGTCATACCTAAAACGCTTCATGGGTGTCCTATGCCACATTTGTATACAAAGTGTATGCCCTTATAGATTAAAAACTGACAACTTTCAAAAACTGAGATCACAATTAACAAACATTTATTACATTATATTTCATTGAGCTGCACATCTTATAAATGTTTAAAGCAAACAAACACTACATAATCAGAAAGACATCACATATTTCTAACATTTTTTTTCGAACATGTAATGTCGACTTATAAAGTTACATAAAGTTCTGAAAGTCATTAAATGGTCACTTATCCTGAAATTCTGTCAACGGTCATCTTGATTGACGACCTGTTATTTCCACAAAATGCATTGACACCAAACCTTTTAACCATCGTACATTTTTTACTAAATCACTGAAAAGCTAGCTTTCTAAAAGCAGCTTTTGCAGACATCAAAGGACTTAAATATAGCACAACTCACACACAAAAATAAGTACTTTCAATCTCATCAAAACACAACCATATCGGCATGCTGTTAAGTGGGGGGGTTGTATATGGAGTCTTTATTACCAATACAAAATGAATCATATATCTGACATTTTCCATTTCTGAATTGAAAATTTTAATCATAAGTTTCATCGTTATTGATCCAACTTAACAAAGAGTTTGCTTTTAAACAGTCACTGAGAGCATTATATCCAAACTGTTATTTTCACAGAGACATTTAAATATGATTGGACTGCTGGTGTTGGTGCTATTTACATCTATACAGTTGCTATGTATTTCTGTAACTTCAACTAAAAATATCGAAACAAAAAATTCCAGACCTTTGTGGAATAAGATAGTTTTTGGTCAACAGATTAATATTGACTCACATCATACATTTCATGACAGGTAATATTCAAAATGTTTAAATGTTTACAGATCATGTAGGTGTTGACCTGAAACATCAAATATGGACAATTTAACCTAAAAAGTTGTATTTATGGTGTCTATTTAAAATCAGGACCCCCTAAAAATTCAGCTGAAAGACTGAATGGCAAACCTAATATTGGACATTTGGAAAATTATTCGGATTTGTGGGTTTTTTTCACAAAAACTTCTGAAATATCTTTGTTATTGTCTTGCCTGGTTACCTATTATAAAAAAATTCTTTATTTTGATTCAGGCATAAAACAGTATCATTACACAATATTATACTAAACTGTTGGAAATAAAGATCAAAAGAACAATTAATCAGATCTTTTTACAATTAAACTGAAACAGTTTTCATAAACCTATAATACTACTTCACACAATATGGTGACTCTCAATTCAATCGCCTGCAATGAAATTTGACATGTTTGAATCTCTGCTTATTAAGACTGATAAGATGTATGTCAGTCTTAAAACTACCAGAAATCTCATCTATCTTGTCTTTTGAAGTCTGTGCCAGAACAATTTTGTCTTTATAGGTGAGGTGAGGTGTAATGGGGTTTAACGTTTCGTCCAAGATTATTGCACTTATATAGTGATGAGCATCCATTTCATCTTTTAACATCTATTGGTATGACACGGCCAGGGATCAAACCCCGAACCTTCCGCTCTCCAGGCAGACATTCTACCACTATACCACAGAGGTGACCGACACATAGAAAAAACTATGTAAAATTCAATTATGTTCCAACTCACCAGACAAGTGGACATGCCATGCAGAGTACAACTGCCCAAGAGAAAATTAACCAGACCCAAGCTTCCTACCTTATCGCATCTTCAACAGAAAGTTAAACAGACTCACAATTCAAACTCAGATCGTTGAACAGTGAGTGAGGATGTTAGGTTTTATGCCCCTTTTAGCAATATTACAATGGCGGACATCAGAAATGGGAATCACACATTTTACCAATTTGGAGAATCAAACCTGAGCCTTATTCATGATGAAATAATGCTTTAACAAGTAGTCGACCCTACCATCCCATTATTTGTTTGTTTGTTGTTTAACGCCACACTCAGCAATATTCCAGCTATGTGATGGCAGTCTGAAAGTAATCGAGTCTACACAAGACAATCCAATGATCGACAACATGAGCATCGATCCACGCAATAGGGATACGATGACATGCATAAACCAAGTCAGCGAGCCTGACCACCCGATCCCGTTAGTCGCCTTTTACGACAAGCATAGTCACCTTAAATGGCAAGCATGGGTTGCTGAAGACCTATTCCACCACGGATCTTCACGGGCACCACCCCATTAAACCTTATTGGAAACATAATCCACAGAAAGTCATAGTCATGCTTTCAAACAATATCTTTAATAGAAAATTCGCCAGACTAAAGCTTTCAATTTATAGACAACAGAAATTAACCAGGATTACCTTCCAATTCAAATTGTAAATGGAAAATTTACCAACTCACCAATCCAAATTGTAAATGGAAAATTAACCAACTCACACTTCCAACCAACATAGCCAACAGAATGTTAACAGACTCTCATTTCCAATACAAAGTTGACAAAATATTCACAAGACTGTCACTTCCTACCAACACTGCCAACAGAAAATTAACCCACTTCCACTTCAAGACTGTATAGAAAATGGAAAATTAGGTAGATTCACGCTTCCAACCCAAATAACTGACTGAAAGTGAACAAGACTTTCACCTCCAACCCATCCACTCACACCGGACAGACTATAGACTGCACATACCCTCCGTCAAGAGAGTCTCTTATTCAACTATACATGAGGAGTTACCAGTTATAATTTGTTGAAAGTCCCTAATTGTACACAAATATCAGTGCTGTAGGTCTGTCTGGAGACATTCATCAGCACAGATCTACAAAAAATATTCACCAGGGAAGCTTTATATTCGTACGGGAAGTAATCACTCTTTGGGGAAATGCATGGTATGTGAAGCATTACTAATGTTTTCTGGAGAACTGTGATCAGAATTGCCTGTTCACAGAGCAGCCAACTGTTTCTGGCCGTCTCCTATTGCTATAACAATTGTGTCCCAGACGATGCTAATGACTATCCTTTGAATATCATTATCATCAAAGGACGTAAGGAACTAATTTTGATGAGAGTCTTAACAGTTTTAGAGACAATTCTTACCATTGATAAAATCCCTGTGCACGTAAGCAATGTCGCAATCTGAAACAACGTCATCTGTCTCCTCAACTTCTTCAGCTTTCAATTCAGTTTCCATGACAACAGGAATGCCTTCCTTGCATGTCAAAGAACAATCACTGGTGGTCACCCTAGGTGTGTGGGGCACTTCCAACGTACAAACACAGTTTCCAGTTTCATCAAAACCCTCAGTGGTACATTCCTCCACTACAGAATTCTCCATAGTCACCATATTTACATTTTCTTTATAACCGTGTGGGCAGTGACTTATACAAGGAACTGAAAGGGTAATCTCGTTTGTCACAGATTTAATCAAGTTTCTTCCTTCCCCAGATCTCTTATGTGGGTAAAAATTGGCACCAGTGATATCAGGAACCCATCTTTGAGTCTGACAAGAGGAACAGGAGTGTGTCGGGTTTCTGGTTTTATCACTGACAGTGTGATTATGCTTAGCTTTGATGCTATCTCCAGGTTCAACTATCGCAAGACTGCTGGCACGGACGGCGTATGTTTGATGGCTGATTTGCGGTAGCTCGCCTGCCTTGTCAATGGGGGATGATAAATCGTCTCCATAAATGTCAATCTCACTCCCATCTCTTGAATGTTCTTTGGTATGTGCATGAGTTTCGATAAAGTTTCCCAATCCAAAGATCCCTCGGTCCCAAGATTCATCTGTCGTGTGAGAATAGGAACAAAAGGCAAGCTTTCGTTGAACACTTTCAATATGAGATCTGCCTGAAATTCCACTTGCTCCTGCAGACGGTGACACCGAATCTTTGAAGTGAACTTCATTACATGAACATGAAGTAGATTTGCAGTCCGCTCCTATACATAACACTTCAGCACTTTCCGTCCTTACAATGCAATTTAAATGACGGCCAATACAATCAGGACGATTTTCCCCCACTTTGCCCAATAATTCAGTATTATCAACGGTATTCCTTAACTGAACATCTTGTTTCTCAGATGAAGACTTATCTATTTTGCCATGGCGAAAAGGGCCTGGAGAAGAATGGCTTTTGGTACTCCCTTTCTCATACGAAGTGGCTGATGATAATAAATAGGTCTCCTCTTGGACAGCTAAAGTTGCTTTCGGAAGTGTAATCGAAAAATCATCCAGTTCGTCTATGGTGGCTTTTGGTGCACGTATAGGTGTCGTTCGATTGTCACGCAGTTCTGAAGAAATAATTCTGGTGTGAAATTCTGAGCACAGTAAGGAATGATTGTCATTATATTCATTTTTCTCCGATCTAAACTGATAAGGTACTGGCGCCACATCGGCGCATACAATCTGTTGGAAGCTTGTCGTCGTCTGCTCCTGAGATGCATCCGTGGATGGTAAAATTGGCGCACTTTCTGAACGCTGTATGACAACCTCGGGCTCGATTTCACACTTTTCAATTTCCAAAGTTGATCCATCGCTTGACAGCCTCACAGTTATTTTAGACGTCTTGTACCCGGGGGAATTATAAGTCGCAGTTGTTGTAGAAAAGTCACTGAACTCCGTTGACGGATGACAGGCAGCCAGTGATGTAGAATTTTTCACCTGGGTTGGAAACCCGCCTGGTCGCACTCTTCTGGAAAACTTCCCCGAACCGAAATGGGCTCCAAATCCACCTCCCATTGCCTCTGCCGCTCGGATTTTACTTGAGGCATGCTTGCTCGGGCGGCATCCCATTCCACAACCCCAACCAAGGCAGGACGGGGAAGGTTTGATACACCGCGGCTAGCAGCCGACGCTTAGCCATCGGTAGATACAGACATATCGATTCGTTGACAAGCGCACTACTTTCCTAACCACGAATGACGACCAACTGAGTGCTGAGGATTGATTCTCAACTCTGCATCTCTGATTTAGAATTTCAAGACTCAAACGCCGTAGACCACTCTTTTAAATCTGCTTCTTCTTCTTAATAATAATTATGGAAGATTCGATTTCAACAAAGGGAAACGTCGACATTGGGTCTCAACCTAATGCGGAGAGACAGCTGTTTCTATGCAGCCTATGGATTTTGAGTTAAGGGGAGTTCGGGGAAGCTTATTTCATTCGTTGTGTAAAGCACGGAATGTCTATGGTAAATGGTGTATGACACTGATTCAGACTTGCGAAAACTATAAGTGGATATGACGGATACGACCTATCCCTTTTTAGTGCAGTGTTATGAAGTAGTATTGAGGAACTGGCGGGTTCAGATGTACGTTTTCTGAACACAACCAGACCAACAGGTTAAAGATAACATTGCACAGGAGTTGAGGCATTTATCCTTAACCGCCCTTTCCCGTCTGAGTGCAACAGACGTGTCTACATTTGACTTTTTGCATTTAAAAAACATGATCCACGTAGCGGCTTTAGACACTTGAGTGAGTGAGTGAGTGAGTTGGGTTTAACGCCGCTTTTAACAGTATTCCAGTTATATCACGGCGTGTCAGCTTAATGTGGGAGGAAAGCCCGAAGTGATGCAGGTTTAAGACGTTTACCACTTCGGTGAAACCCACGAGCACGGGTATGGTGCTGACAAACCTAGAAACATAATTGAGGCGAACCGGGATTCGAACCCACAATCATGGGTTTCTGGCATGCCCAAAGGACGCAACTCTGCACAGCGAATCGCGGCGCCTTAGACGACTGAGCCACCCGTGTCCTCTTTAGACACTTGACCGACGGTGCCATAAAATGTTTAACGGATGAAAATAGTTCGCGTTTATACACACGTATCATTCAGTGTTAAACATTCCAGAATAATCTTTAATACATTCGTGGGCTTCTCGACAGGTTTATATGTTATTGAAAGTTATGATCGGTTGATTATGTTGTGTCTGTTCGTTTGTTGGGGAACGCCGCACTCCGCAACATTCCAGCTATATGACGGCGGTCGGTAAATAAGCTGGAACCTACAATCAAGGGACAGACGTGGACATCGATCATCCACACAATTGGGATGCGGTAACACGCAAACAACCAAGTCACCAAGCCTGACCACCCGACGTATTTAGTCGCCTCTTGCGACCAGCCTAGGTAGACGGGTACCAAACAATATATTCAACCCCGAAATCCCACGGGTCCATATTATGTATATGTATCGTTTACACGATGCCTTAAAGGCGCTCTACACTGCAAGGTCTGCCCTGCCTAGACACTGAGACATTGGTTCTGCATTATTCTTTTGAAATAATTAACCGTTGGACGACATACTTCAATACCATTTGAGTTTACAGACAAAGAAAAACTGAAAGCTCACATCTTTTCTTTCAACTACCTTATCTGGACATTGTCCAAACTTCTTGTTCGTTGTCTGTATATATGAATGCAGTCTGGTTATAAGTGAGTTCACGGCGAACCACGATCACTAGCACCGGAAAATATCATGTGTTGTGTTTACTTCCATTGTAGCGCTTTTGAGCATATTTTAGGACAGATTAAAATAAATAAATGTTAAGAAGGTTAGGGTGATCCTGGCACAGTCAGGCTTGTTAGGCTCATTATCAGCTCAGGGCCCTTACCCCCTCTACACGCAGCCCGGACAGCGAATGGGACGTCTCCGAGGAAGCGCTGTCGAGTCGAACCCACCCAGAACCTTTCGGAGAATGTGAAGACTCCCCAACACTGCAGCCTTCTGCATTACCCAGATTGTCAGAAGGGCTGTAACAGAATCTACACCAAGAACAATGGTGAGTCGGACGACATGGTACTTTGGATGCAAGGTGACATTTCGAAAGCGAGGTCCGCATAGTTGCCATGTTTTCTTCCCGATTCTTGTCAATCACATTTATATAATAGTGTCAAAAGTGACAGAAAACTAGTTGATATCATTTATTTCATTGGATGTATCAAAAAGGACAAGATCAGGTGTGTTGGCCTGGATAGGCCTGAGGCTGTATACGGGCCTATTCCAAATAATTTTGTTTTTATCATTTTCCATGACGCCCTCTACATATTTTGGGTCGTGCCATGGGTGGAACTCTGTGTCAAAAACGCAAGCATGGCGAAGACGGTAATAAAATGATCGAGCCACTCCATCATGTCGCTTAAGATATTGTGTTTGTGCCAAAGCTGGACATCCACTGACAATGTGTTGACAGTCTCATTAAATTCATTGCATATTCTACATTTCATACTTTAAGTTACATTTTGATGCAAAATCACACATTTACGGTTTCGAGTGGGAAGTGACTGCTCTTGAGCAGCAAACAGAAAGCCTTCTGTTTCACTTTTCAGGCCAGCCGACCTTATCCAAGCGAAGGACTCTACATTGTTGCTGGTCCTCTCAACACACTGCACATAAACTCGATGCAGTGGTCGTTCAGATGGCCTCTCCTTGAAGAAAACTGCGCCTGGCATTTCGCTTGGTTGACACTCATTTCTGTGTCGTCCAGCAGTACAGAACCATCAACAAAATCAACATTGACATTGAGATTATGTCCCACATCCTTGGCTTGTTTAAGAAAACGGTGGAATGCCTTGTTTTCATAATGAGTCTCGACATGCTTCACAAGAGGATCATCAGTCAAATCAATGTGTGCAAAAGTGCACACAACAATTTTTTCATGTAGAGCCTCCACGTTAATCAAACCACGCCCTACCATTATGTTTGATAATTATTAGCTATTGAGGGAAGAGCAAGGGTGGTGGAATCTATTGTCTGACATGATTCTTCGTATTAAGGTAGCAAGACCCTGAATTTCTTGTTTCGTCCAATCAACCACACCAAAAGAATACGAAATGACGGGTACAGAATAAGTATTTGTGGCTTTAACTTTATTGCGAACGTTCATCTCTGAACTCCAGATTTTCCTTAGTCTACATTTGTACTTTGCCCGAACTTTTTCCTTAATATGGGCATTCTGGAGTTTGTCCCTAACCTGCATCCCTAATTTCGTATAGGCATGACCTTCCACGAGATGGTCCATAACTCCTCCCCCAAGTGAACTGACTTATCCTCCTTCTAGATGCCACGTTTCAGATCAAGAATGTTGCATTTGCCCAGCCCAAAGGACATGCCAATATCATTAGAAAAGGACTCGACAATGAGCATATTTTCTTAGTGTGGAATCTCCACTGGCAATACGTTCAAGGTCATTCATGTAAAGGAGGTGAGTAAGGGGTGGGGATCTGTGCTGAGGAGTCCCAGGATGATGACCTTCCTCTTTGCCGAGCAAAAAGCTTAAACTGTTTAGTGACACAGAAAAGCAAAGGACTAAATGAATCGCCCTGAAATATTCCTCTTCTAATAGAAATGGGTTCCGAAGTCAGTACCTGCCCCTGTGAGTACATCTCAAGTTGAATTGACCAGCAATTCATTAAAGACTTGAGTAAAACAAGTAGCCGGTCGAGGTGGTCAATACATTCCAGTGACTTCAAAATCCATTCGTGAGGTACAGAATCATAAGCTGTTCTGTATTCTATCCATCATATTGAGAGGCTACGGTGGTAAGTTTTAGCCTCCTCAAGGCACATTTTCCGAACGAGCAATTGATCCTTACAACCCCAACATCCCTGTCTTGCTCCTTTCTGCTACATGCAAATAAGATCATTTGAAGCGCAGTATGATGACACAAGATCTGAAAGACACCCTGTAAATATTTTGTTCTGTGTATTCAGAAAAGTAGTAGGGCGGACGTTTTTAGGGTCAGTCAAATCACCTTTATTTGGGAAAAGTATTGTTCGACCTTTGCACAGCCAAGGCCTGTATCCACAAGAGAATTTAAACACTGAAGCAATGGTGTTTGGACACATGGGAACAGTTTCCAAAAACCGGCTTCGAATACCATCATCAAACTTGGTACCTTGGTACTTTGGATGCAAGCGTGACATTTCGAAAGCGAGGTCCGCATATTTGCCATGTTTTACCTCAATCGTATTGTTGTTGTTGTTGTTGTTGTTGTTGTTGTTGTTGTTGTTGTTGTTATACTGTGTCTGAGTGGAATATTCATGTTAAACTGCGGCATGGTATCTCAGTGGGCTAGTACTAAAATATCGGCATTAATCCGGATGAGAAGTACACACACACACACACACACACACACACACACACACACACACACACACACACACACATTTGTTAGTTATGTCAAATTTCTTTTAAGAACGTCCAACATGTCCAGTGAACATGTTTTTCTTTCCATGTCTTTTTTTTTCTAGAACATAGTTTTTTAAACCAAAACTAAAATAGTCTGCCCGTGTTACTTTATCCCTGGAGCTCAGCAAAGGATCTCGGACATCTTTCACAAAGCGCCCTTAACGACGCTACAACATCGTCAATCTATGGTAAAGCATACGACAGTTGTAACGCTTTAAAGAAAGGGGTCTCTGTGGAGGCTTGGGTTGCCAAATAGGCAATTTCGTTCGCCTGTCTTGCACAAAAAACCCGGTTCTATTTTCCTAACGACTAACCTGATTTGTGCCAACTGACAAGTGTAATGATAGTCCTGCTGAAGAGTTAAAAAAAAACAGCATAAAATACTTAATTGTCTTCAATATGTACCACACAGGGAAAATATAATAACATATTATAATTTTCGAAGATTTTTATTCTTTACAGGTTTTCTTCTATATGATACAATATTTAATCATAATTTTATCATGAATCTCGCCTTTTAAAAAACGGGCAAACAGGTGCGTGGGAATAACGTTAAAGTATCTGCTGAGGCTTGGGGCAAAAACATAAAAATAATTCCTTAACATTTCATCTGTTGATGTGGTGGCATGGATGGCCAAAGGCGCAGCAATAAGCTCTGTCGAGTTGCCTCCCTTACGCCTGTCAGAATCCTAACACCGGGGTTTCGAATCCAAGATTCCCCCTGTTATGATTTTCAGTTTGGCATAACCTGCTCGTTGGTTTCCCCAAATTTGAACGTCCGAAACCTACATTGCTTTGGGCTTTAGTCCCAAATCTATCTGATGCCATGTGCTACTACTGAAATACTGTCCAAAGTAGTGTTAAAACCCAACTCATCCACCATCTCTGTATCCTCAATCATCTGGAAAATTAAAAAATAATCAATTTGTTGGCGCCTTATTTCTGCTCAGTGGCATCACGAGAACGTGTATCCAGTTACTAACCAGTTATCCAGCTTAAACTGTGCTGATTAATCATAAAAATGTAACATAAGAAAGTTGGTACAGAATTTCTGCAGCTATAAGCCGTCTTGTCTTCTTGTTCTTTTCTTATATTCTTCTCAAGTTCTGTATCTTCTTCACAACATGACCAAACTCATCTCCGTTGCGACTTGTGAGTGGGTGTTGAACCGCCATGACAAAAACTGAAATAAAATCCGTTTCATCCATTTTTTCCGTTTTCTTTCACACTGGACAAGCAATTTATAGCCAAAGCTTCCTTACTGATATTACGAAACCGGTGCATTGCTACTGCTGCTGTTGTTGCTATGGTTACAACTGCTGTTCTTGTTCTTGCTGCTGCGACCACTGCTGTTGTTGCTGCTGCCACCGCTAATATTTTTGTACTTCTACCGGGGTAAAAAAAAAACTGCATCGTCTTAGTAAAGGCTGTTAAAGAAAGTGGTGTATGTTACTATAAACATTGTTTCTGATTTTGATGCTGCTTGTTTGACTTATGACTGCAGACGCCACAAGGGCTGCCACAATTAACTGTTTGTGTTATTGCTACCACTAAAGTGATGCTACTAACGATACAAGCGATGTTGATGATGTTGCTAACGCTTCAAAGAAATGATGCTATAAAAACCACTAAGTTCATGTTGCTACCGCTGCAAGTGATGTTGCTTCCACTACTGTAGCTGCTGGTGTTCCTGCAAGCTCGTCTAATGCTTTTGCCGCTGCCTCAGCGACTGCTGCAACAGCAACTGTTTGTTAGTGCGACGAAAAAAAGTGGTGTTGCTATCGCTAAAAGTGATGTTGCTTCTATCTCCTGTTGCTGCAGCTGGCTCGACTCATGTTTTTTTTTTCATGTTGTCATACTGCAACTATGTCTGTTATTGTCAACACTTTTGTGATGTTGCTTTCATTACCACTGGTGTTGATTCTACTATCACTGCTGCCATTGAAGCTGCCGAACCGTGAAGACCCGGGGCAGAGTAGGTCTTCAGCAATCCATGCTTGCCGTAAAAGGCGACTATGTTTGTCGTTAGAAGCGAGTAACAGGATCGGGTGGTCAGGCTCGCTGACTTGGTTGATGCATGTCATCGTATCCCAATTGCGTGGATCGATGGGCATGCTGTTAATCACTGGATTGCCTGGTCCAGATTTGATTATTTACAGACCGCCGTCATATAACTGGAATATTGCTGAGTGCGGCGTTAAACAACAAATAAACAAACAGATATTACAGCTGCCCGTACTGTAACTGCAGTCGTTGCTGGTGTTACTACTACTACTACTACTACTACTACTACTACTACTACCGCTGCAGCTATCGTTGCAGCTGCTAGCGATGTTGTCGGTGATGCTGAGGCACATATGGTAGACACACAGTCAGTTTGGCGTACCACGATCACTACAGTTTCTTTTGAGATCACTCTCAAGGACAAGACATATCATTTTATGTAGACAAGGGGCGAATCGCTCGACAACCAGTCTACAGTCTCGCAAAATTAACGTGGCATTTGTGATTCATTTCAAGGTTTTATTAATGTTCTATCCCCAGAGGGACAATCTCACAAGTAAGGTCACTGCAGGAATTGATTGTGCACTTGGGTCTACGTACACAAGCACAATTAGGGCTGCTTCAGTTAACGTTGCTACTTTGGCTACCCCGAAAGGGCTGATACAGCTAGCGTTGTTACTTTGGCTACCCCGAAAGGTCTGTATACAGCTAGCGTTGTTACTTTGGCTACCCCGAAAGGTCTGTATACAGCTAGCGTTGTTACTTTGGCTACCCCGAAAGAGCTGCTACAGCTAGCGTTGTTACTTTGGCTACCCCGAAAGGTCTGTATACAGCTAGCGTTGTTACTTTGGCTACCCCAAAAGGTCTGTATACAGCTAACGTTGTTACTCTGGCTACCCCAAAAGGTCTGTATACAGCTAGCGTTGTTACTTTGGCTACCACAAAAGGGCTGATACAGCTAGCGTTGTTACTTTGGCTACCACAAAAGGTATGTATACAGCTAGCGTTGTTACTTTCAATTGGCTACCCCGAAAGGGCTGATACAGCTAGCGGTGCTACGTTGGCTACCCCAGATGGTCTGTATACAGCTAGCGTTGTTACTTTGGCTACCCCAAAAGGGCTGATACAGCTAGCGTTGTTACTTTGGCTACCCCAAAAGGTCTGTATACAGCTAGCGTTGCTACTTTGGCTACCCAAAAAGGTATGTATACAGCTAGCGTTGTTACTTTGGCTACCACAAAGGTATGTATACAGCTAGCGTTGCTACTTTGGCTACCCCGAAAGGGCTGATACAACTAGCGTTGTTACTTTGGCTACCACAAAAGGTCTGTATACAGCTAGCGTTGCTACTTTGCCTACTCCAAAAGGTCTGTATACAGCTAGCGTTGTTACTTTGGCTACCCCAAAAGGTCTGTATACAGCTAGCGTTGTTACTTTGGCTACCCCAAATGGGCTGGTACAGCTAGCGTTGTTACTCTGGCTCCCCCAAAAGGTCTGTATACAGCAAGCGTTGTTACTTTGGCTACCCCAAAAGGTCTGTATACAGCTAGCGTTGTTACTCTGGCTCCTCCAAAAGGTCTGTATACAGCTAGCGTTGTTACTTTGGCTATCCAAAAAGGTCTGTATACAGTTAGCGTTGTTATTTGGCTACCCCAAAAGGGCTGCTAGTTTGCGTTGTTTCTCTGTCTACACCAAAATGTGTTGCTGGTGAGCGTTGTTACTTAGCCTTCCACAAAAAGGGATGCTACAGTTTCGTTGTTACATGGGCTTCACCGAAATGGTCTCCGGTTTTCGTTATTAAAGAAGCTACGCCAATGTCGCCTGCTGCACTTTTCCGTTGTTAAAGTAGCTGCTACAAGTTTGGGAACTCCTGAAAGGTTGTATATTAAAGTGGCTACTCCATTGAGTGCCACCATCATGTCTGTTGTCAAAGTGGCTACTCCGTTAAATGCCACCATCATGTCTGTTGTCAAAGTGGCTACTCCGTTAAATGCCACCATCATGTCTGTTGTCAAAGTGGCTACTCCGTTAAATGCCACCATCATGTCTGTTGTCAAAGTGGCTACTCCGTTAAATGCCACCATCATGTCTGTTGTCAAAGTGGCTACTCCGTTAAATGCCACCATCATGTCTGTTGTCAAAGTGGCTACTCCGTTAAATGCCACCATCATGTCTGTTGTCAAAGTGGCTACTCCGTTAAATGCCACCATCATGTCTGTTGTCAAAGTGGCTACTCCATTGAGTGCCACCATCATGTCTGTTGTCAAAGTGGCTACTCCGTTAAATGCCACCATCATGTCTGTTGTCAAAGCGGCTACTCCACTGAGTGCCGCCATCATGTCTGTTGTCAAAGTGGCTACTCCGTTAAATGCCACCATCATGTCTGTTGTCAAAGTGGCTACTCCATTGAGTGCCACCATCATGTCTGTTGTCAAAGTGGCTACTCCATTGAGTGCCCTCATCATGTCTGTTGTCAAAGTGGCTACTCCATTGAGTGCCCTCATCATGTCTGTTGTCAAAGTGGCTACTCCGTTAAATGCCACCATCATGTCTGTTGTCAAAGCGGCTACTCCACTGAGTGCCGCCATCATGTCTGTTGTCAAAGTGGCTACTCCGTTAAATGCCACCATCATGTCTGTTGTCAAAGTGGCTACTCCATTGAGTGCCACCATCATGTCTGTTGTCAAAGTGGCTACTCCGTTAAATGCCACCATCATGTCTGTTGTCAAAGTGGCTACTCCATTGAGTGCCACCATCATGTCTGTTGTCAAAGTGGCTACTCCGTTAAATGCCACCATCATGTCTGTTGTCAAAGCGGCTACTCCACTGAGTGCCGCCATCATGTCTGTTGTCAAAGTGGCTACTCCGTTAAATGCCACCATCATGTCTGTTGTCAAAGTGGCTACTCCATTGAGTGCCACCATCATGTCTGTTGTCAAAGTGGCTACTCCATTGAGTGCCCTCATCATGTCTGTTGTCAAAGTGGCTACTCCATTGAGTGCCACCATCATGTCTGTTGTCAAAGTGGCTACTCCGTTAAATGCCACCATCATGTCTGTTGTCAAAATGGCTACTCCATTGAGTGCCACCATCATGTCTGTTGTCAAAGTGGCTACTCCATTGAGTGCCCTCATCATGTCTGTTGTCAAAGTGGCTACTCCATTGAGTGCCCTCATCATGTCTGTTGTCAAAGTGGCTACTCCGTTAAATGCCACCATCATGTCTGTTGTCAAAGTGGCTACTCCATTGAATGCCACCATCATGTCTGTTGTCAAAGTGGCTACTCCATTGAGTGCCACCATCATGTCTGTTGTCAAAGTGGCTTCTCCGTTGAATGCCGCCATCGTGTTTGTTGTCAAAGTGGCTACACCGTTAAATGCCACCATCATGTCTGTTGTCAAAGTGGCTACTCCATTGAGTGCCACCATCATGTCTGTTGTCAAAGTGGCTACTCCACTGAGTGCCACCATCATGTCTGTTGTCAAAGTGGCTTCTCCGTTGAATGCCGCCATCGTGTTTGTTGTCAAAGTGGCTACACCGTTAAATGCCACCATCATGTCTGTTGTCAAAGTGGCTACTCCATTGAGTGCCGCCATCATGTCTGTTGTCAAAGTGGCTACTCCGTTAAATGCCACCATCATGTCTGTTGTCAAAGTGGCTACTCCATTGAGTGCCACCATCATGTCTGTTGTCAAAGTGGCTACTCCGTTAAATGCCACCATCATGTCTGTTGTCAAAGTGGCTTCTCCGTTGAATGCCGGCATCGTGTTTGTTGTAAACCTTGCTACTTAACTGGCTGCTACCAGAAATTTCGTTGAACTTCCACTGTTTCTTTTGTAAACTTGAATCTCCCTGCCGCCTGATATAGCTCTCCTCGTCGAAGCATCACTGCCGTCTGCTACTACCACAATGGTTGCTGCAGCTATGCGTATTATCGCCACTACCATTGCTGCAGCTACCTCCACTACTGCCGTTGTCCCTTCTGCTCCTACACTCCGTACAAGCACTGATACTCTATCGTCACTACCATTGCTTCACCTACCTCCACTACTGCCGTTGTCCCTTCTGCTACTACACTTCGTACAAGAACTGACACTCTATCGTCACTGCCATTGCTGCAGCTACCTCCATTACTGCCGTTGTTCCATCTGCTACTACACTTCGTACAAGCACTGATACTCTATCGCTACTACCGTTGCTGCAGCTACCTCCACTACTGCCGTTGTTCCATCTGCTACTACACTTCGTACAAGCACTGATACTCTATCGCTACTACCGTTGCTGCAGCTACCTCCACTACTGCCGTTGTCCCTTCTGCTACTACACTTCGTACAAGCACTGATACTCTATCGCTACTACCGTTGCTGCAGCTACCTCCACTACTGCCGTTGTTCCATCTGCTACTACACTTCGTACAAGCACTGATACTCTATCGCTACTACCGTTGCTGCAGCTACCTCCACTACTGCCGTTGTCCCTTCTGCTACTACACTTCGTACAAGCACTGATACTCTATCGCCACTACCATTGCTGCAGCTACCTCCACTACTGCCGTTGTTCCATCTGCTACTACACTTCGTACAAGCACTGATACTCTATCGCCACTACCATTGCTGCAGCTACCTCCACTACTGCCGTTGTTCCATCTGCTACTACACTTCGTACAAGCACTGATACTCTATCGCCACTAACATTGCTGCAGCTACCCCCACTGCTGCCGTTGTCCCTTCTGCTACTACACTTCGTACAAGCACTGACACTCTATCGCCACTACCATTGCTGCAGCTACCTCCACTACTGCCGTTGTCCCTTCTGCTACTACACTTCGTACAAGCACTGATACTCTATCGCCACTACCATTGCTGCAGCTACCTCCACTACTGCCGTTGTCCCTTCTGCTACTACACTTCGTACAAGCACTGATATCCCTGTTGTTACCGTTGCTGCTGGTGATATTGTTTAAGACACGCAATATTGCTTGTCTATTTTACATGTTGCTGGGGTGGGTGGGGGGGTTGGGGGTGGGGGTGGGGTGGGGTTGGGGGGGTGTACCAGTCGTCTAAGGCGCCGCGATTTGCTTTGCAGAGTCCCTTGGGCACGCCAGAAACCTATGATTGTGGGTTCGAATCCCGGTTCCCCCCAATTATGTTTCTAGGTTTGTCAGCACCATACCCGTGCTCGTGGGTTTCACCGAAGTGGTAAAAGTCTGAGACCTGCATCACTTCGGGCTTTCCTCCCACATTAAGCTGACACGCCGTGATATAACTGGAAATCTGTTAAAAGCGGCGTTAAACCAAACTCACTCACTCACGTGTTGCTGTGGATAGCAATTCAACTAATGTTCTTCAGATTACATAAATTCACTGATAACTCGAAAAAACTTTCGTTCGTGATGCGTAAGTATTTATAACCTCACGCCTCGTTCATCAAAACGACCTTCGTGCCAGACGAATGCCATACGCCCACACTTTATCGTAGACTTTCGCCAGTCAACGTTCTTGTAATGCTTTGTGGAGCGAGTCCCAAATGTCTTTAAATTTGTCTAGACTGAATAACCAGCATTGTTTCAATGGTCGGATTTAAACATTCTGACACAGCGTTCAGGCCAAATCTCTCGTAAAGACGAAAAACATATCTTTGAAACTCAAATTCAATAAATCTGGTCATGAACTGTCACGCACAAATTGATGCTGGGATTTCAGGTGCTTCTTATGTAAGCAGCGTAAACGTACACGAAGTATAAGACGTTACGTCCATGATCATTGATCGGGGCGGTTAAGAATAAAACATACCGTATGACGTAGATATGTGTGGGTGTACTCCGAGTAAAGAATAAGAGCGTTTCGTTGTATAATATTAGGTTTGCTGTGGCAAATCAATAACGAAGTTAATCTGAAGAAATCGGGAGGAAGAGTACTATATATACAAACTTCATGTCTGCGTCACAACTCTTGGAATAAATTCACAAGCAGACACATGTGTTGCGTTCAAAGGGATCCAGCCCTGCTTTAGGTTGAGGCAGTGGGTCGTAAATTTCTCTGTGAGATGAGGCGCACCAAATGATGGTCTGAATCAAATCTTAATGTCAGATAAATATTGGTTGTATGCATGTTTATGGAACATACACTGTAAGTCGTCAAACCTTATTTCAAAACATATCGATCTTCATGGCATGATTTGACATGATTAAAAGTCAAGACATCTCTTTAATTGTATTGGGAGCATTATTAGCGGAAACGCTCGTAAAATATACCGAGAGGCATGAAAACGCCCGGTACGTTTAATACTGCGAGCAATTTGGAATTGTGAAAACATTTGTATTGTCAGGATTCTTAGAAAAAATTGAACATATATGTACCCTAGAGAGGTTTTCTTAATAATTTAAGTTGTGTATTCCTCAGCAAATTATTTACTACGTGTATTAATCTGATTGATATAGCCGTGAAATTTTCCCTTATATCAACGGTTTCTTTACTGATACTAAACTATAATCAGATCGTTCTTTTAATTTGCTTTACTTTTATTTATACAAGTTCGTCTTATGTACCGCTTTTTAATTAAGCATTTAGTTATTCTTATGTAGTACCCTATACATTTATTTAGACATATCAATGAGGGAAAATGACAAATATTTTAAGGTTCATATCGTATAATATGCCTGGAATAATAATAACGGTTCGTTGATTTTCTTGAAAAACAAAAGTATGGCAGACACTGTTTCTTTGATTACTGAAATAAATTAAAGTTTTAAGCACGCTTTCTAATAGTCCTGAAGTTTCCCAATTATCTTTTTAATGACCATTTAACCAGTAAAATGTGAAATTATGTTTTTAACGCAAGTATTAAATGTACTCAAATATTTTGTATATGAATTTATTGTTAAACAATAACACAACAGATTTTCGTTCATGAATTGACCGCATCTGTGGTCTAGTGGATAGAGCGTCTGCCCAGAGATCGGAAGGCCGGTGGTTCGATCCCTGGCCGCGTCATACCAAAAGACGTTGAAAGATGGTTCTTGTTGTTACCCTGTCTGGCTCTGTGTGAAGGGGCTAAAACAAGGACTGGTCGGCTCGTCAGTATGCTGTGTCTGAGTGGGGTATTCATGTTAAACTGCGGCATGGTATCTCAGTGTGCTAGCACTATAGAAACGGACTTGTACACACACAAAACGAGTGCGCACATGCACGTCGCTATATAAGTGCAATAGTAAGTGAGTGAGTATGGTTTTACGCCGCTTTTAGCAATATTCCAGCACTATCACGGCGGGGGACACCAGAAATGGGCTTCACACATTGTACCCATTTCGGGAATCGAACCCGGGTCTTCGGCGTGACGAGCGAACGCTTTAACTACTAGGCTACCCGGTCGTCCCTTTATAAGTGCAATAACCTTGAACGCGACGTAAAACCCCATTACACCTCCCCCCACCTCGTTCATGAATTAATAATCCATATGAGAATCAAACGACCCCCGTTTAGTCATTATATAAAAAACACATTCTCGGTCAGTGTTATGATTAATCACCCCAAACCATCCAAATAATTTTTTTATCCGCCTATTAGTTTAAAAATCAACTAAAATCTATTTACACATTAATGTCGACCAGGGCCCACTTGCACAAAGCGATCTTAGTGCTTAGATGATCGTAACTCCCATACTTTAACATAGGCTTACAATAGTCGTAGCGCTAAGATCGCTTTGTGCAAGTGGGCCCTGGAAGTTATACACCTGACGTCCATGTCACAGTTACCCATAAATGAACGTTAGTATTGCGGAGAACGTTAGCGTGTCATGGCATCGTCAGGCATGCAATTCAGGGTAATTGAGACATATGTCACTCAGGCTAATATACCTGTTGATTGTAGCGCCGGTCGACTAGAGGCAGCAGGCTCGACTTGTCGAACGGCGGAAAAAAGTGAGTATATTTGCGCATTTGTTACCGATTCCCGTACATTATTGATACACACCGACACAATGTGTAGCTGTGATTCTAGATTGCTCTTCAATCAACTGGAGACGCGCAATGCTGTGGCCTGGCGTTAAAGTGCTGCGTGTTGTTGGGAGTCCTCTGTTTACTAATAACAACTTTGATGTATTACGGTGTTCTAGGTACATATCGTTGTTGTCGAGGACAAGTCTGTTTACTTAAAATAACTGATGGAATACAGCGTTGTAGTAGTTTGTATATTTGTGAGAAAAGACCTTTTTTTCTCCTTAAGTTGCTGAAATCAGAAGGATGTCTTAGGAAAGAATTTTAACACACTGTTAGTATGTTAGAGGATACAATGTTGAAACCGTGCTTTGAATCCTTTAACAAAGTCGCCCTTCAAATATAAACAAATGCCTTTTGTATGAAATATTTCTCCATGTACATAATTATCAGGCATGTTATCAGTGGCCCCCGTTTGCTACATGCTCTAACAATTGTAAATCTTAATGACATAATTGTTGTATTGTTCCAGACAATAGGTACCGATACTATCAACCACTTAATAGCCTCATGCCTGCGCTCACTGCGGTGAGATGCTATCTCTGCCACCTGACATTGCAAACACTGGTATCAGGTGATACAAATCTCACACCAGTGATCATGGTTTCCGTATACCTCATGCTTCAGAGAGTTATAATGTCTGTACCGCAAAGGTACTCCCCCATGGGTATTGCGTGACAAACTAGGTCCCAAGTACCCTAATCTCATTAAAATCAGATGTTTAGTTATCGCTACCGCTAAACAAAGATCTGAGGACATCCCATTACGGGTCACGTCAGACCGACCTTTCATCCGACCA